CTTGGTTGGTAGATGCACCAGGGACCTGATTATAGCACTTAAAATCTGGAAAAGTAAGATTTTCATGATATGTCACCTTTAAAACTCAATTTAAATGCACTGGGACAAATCATTTTAAAATAATAAATCAAGCTATGCTATGCTAATATTTGTTGACAAGTCATGCCTCACTACTCGTGAACAGGAGAGATAGGGCGAAAGTCAAGAATTGGCCCCAGTGCTGTTTGTACAGAATTACAAACAGATAAAAAGATTTGTTGACTTTGCAACTTACAATAAAGTCAACATATAAACCTAACATTTTCAGCAACATGAAGTCGGCTAAAAGGTCTCACCCACTACACTATGCCAAAGAAATTTCAGGAATGATTATGAGGAATAAAATGAGTGAAATGTAGCCATCTAGGAAGGGCTGCAAAGCTATTTTAAAGGTTGTGGAACTCCGAAGAACCACAGTGACAACCACAAATCTCTAAATGGATAAAACTTGTACCACAATTGGCTGACTTACCAAAATTCCTCTAAAAGCATATCAACATCTCATCCAGGAAGCCATAAAAGAGCCAAGGACAACATCCAAGGGACTGCAGGAATCTTTCACAGCAACAGAGGTCAGTGTTCACAACTCCACATCACAAAGACAAGACATGCCAGAAGTGGCATCCCATGGAAGAGTGACAAGTTGAAACCCATTGCTAATCCAGAAGAACAAGCCAAATCAAATTGATTTGTATAGCGCTTTTCACAATACACATTGTTTCAAAGCTGCTTTACAGAAAATCAGAATGTTCATGTTTAGAATATCTTCATATCTTCATTCCATATTAAGATTAAGGCTTATCAAAATGTTCCCAAAACACACCTTGATGATTCACACCTTGAATGTTCTTTTAGTCAAAAGTGGAGCAGGAGGTCTTTCTGTGTGGAGTTTGTATGTTCTCCCCTCGCTGGTGCAGGTTTTCTGTGAGTGCTCTGGTTTCCTCCGCAATCTAAATTGTGCCTATGGCCTGAAACGCTGGAATAGGCTCTAACATCCCTGTGAGCCTAAGTTGATTGGAAGATGGATGGGTGAATTCTGTACTCTACTAGAAAATACTGAAGGAAATGTGAACACTGCAAAAAATGCTTTTAAAGCTTAGATTTTTTGTCTTGTTTCCAGCCAGAATATCTAAACATTCTTAAATCAAGAAGGAGTTTCTAGACAAGTAAAAATTATTGTCTTGTTTTCCGAAAAAACAAGTCAAAATTAAGTGCGTTTTTGCTTGAAACAAGCTAAATAATCTGTCAGTGGGATAAGCAAAATAATCTTGTTTTCTGTTTGAAATAAGATTATTTTGCTTACCCCATTGGCAGATTATTTTGCTTGTTTCAAGCAAAAACTCACTTGAATTCGACTTGTTTTTTTTCTGAAAACAAGACAATAATTTTTACTTGTCTAGAAAATCTTTCTTGATTTAAGAATGTTTAGATATTTTGGCTGGAAACAAGACAAAAGATCTAAGCTAGAAAAACATTTTTTTGCAGTGAAGCACAATGATACCAAGCAAAGGAGTAGATACATCCCTGAATTTCTAGTTGAACCTGAACCTGATTGAGATGCTGTGGCAGGACTTTATACTACACTGTACAGTTCATGCTGTAAAACACTGGTCTCAAACTCAATTCCTGGAGGACCACAGCTCTGCACAGTTTAGCTCCAACCCTAATCAAACACACCTGATCCAGATAATCAAGCTCTTCAGGATCACTAGAAACTTCCAAGCAGGTGTGATTTGGAGCTAAACTTTCCCTCCAGGATTTGAGTTTGAGACCACTGCTGTAAAACCTCCAGTGGTGCTGAGTGAAAGCAGTTCTGCAAAGAAGAGTGGGCCAAAATGCCACCTCAGCTATGTGAATGACTAACCTCTTGTTCTCTAATGCATTTGGTTGAGAGTTTTTGCTACTAAAGTTGGCTTGACCATTTATTAAGTTAATAGGACAATATGGATGTATTTTAGAGATTGTATACTAAGAAAAATACAAGAAATCACAAATAAATTTCACAGCTCTGTAGCTAAAGAGTTTATGCTCACATACTTATGTAGCTTATGTTGGGCCAGAAATCTGCATGTTCGCAATTTATGTACCAAGAGGATTTGGGCAAGATCTACAGTGTGACACAGATTTATGTTCCAGAGATTATTGCTGAGACTGGATAATGAGTCTTACATTATCCAGCATTCCCCAGGGGATTTTTGCCCTTTTCTTGTATTGTAATTGTGAAAACCACCAAAATGTGAAATTACACACAAAATTAACAAACAGAAAAAAAGTAGTCTAAAACGAGACCTA